GACCGCGCCCAAGCACTCAAAAATATCCATGGACGACCCCTTTCTGCAACCTTTTTGGACACGTTGAGCTACCGACTTGGCGTCCGTCGTGACATCTTTGACCCCAAAACTTGACACTCCGCCACCCACAGGATTGCACGGGCTTCCGTACGGTACACGGTTTGGGCCCCCAACACCCTTCCCGGTAACCGATGCCACCTGAATCCAGGTTTTGCCAACACGCCTGGCCGCTATGACCCCCCATCGATGAAGCCGGGGGTCTTTTCCAGCACCGGAGGTGCCGTCAGTGGCCCAAGCAACTTTGTTCGGGTTCTCCCAGACCCAAGACCAATCACCTTTCCATTCCCAGTCCTCTTCTTTTGGCACGTTCGTCGCCACCTGTGGCCACAGGCCCACAGTCCACAGTGACTTGCTGGGATATGCTGTGCGTAGTCTTTCAAAATGCTGAGGTTCCACCTCGTGCTCTTGCCACCATTGGCACTCCCAAAGAAGGTATTTGATGGTGCAGTCCGTTTGGCACCGTGCGCACCAAGCGTTTTTGCCGGCCCGCAAGGCCCCTTGCCAGACCATTCCAAAACCTTACTCGTTTCCAAGCCTTTGGTCGCTTGCTTGGCGCCATACCAGTCAACCCCAATTTCGAGGGCTACATCCTCTAATTGGGCCGCAATGCGACGCCGTCGCCTTTCAATCAAGCGTCTTTCCATGGCCTGCATTATTTGCCATCGACCTACCATCGTTGTGACATCGAGCGGGGCCGATGCCCCAGGAGGAAACCATTCAGTGATGGTGCACTCCATCCCAGGTGCAAGTACGCCATCATGGCTCCCCTAGGGCTACAGTCCTCCAGGGATACTGTGCCTGAGTTTTGGCCCACAAGACTGGCCAGGCCTTCTCCATGTGGTCTCGCTGCGGCGTTCATCCGGCACCAAGCGAGACCAGGTTTGCACATGCTGCCTATGCACAGTGACCTCCGGGTCTTGGACTCCCGTCGCTTTGTCCAGCACTATGTCAGTGGACCCCAAACTCTGCCGGCCCAAGATGCCAGCAATGGTATGCCGATACCACGTCATTCTCTTGGGTGGGACCCCCATGCTCTGGTGACCATACAGGCCCGTAGCAGCAATGGACCCTTTATAGATCCTTAACTGCGGTGTAACCGCGCCAACTCCCAGTTTCGCGAGCTTGGTTTTCCGGGATCGTGCTTTGGCATCTCTTCCGCGCGCAACAGCGACCCGTCTCAGAGCACCACTCGTGGAGCCAATGCCCACGTCTTTAGGTCTGGTTTTCACTTGCGGGTCTTCCTCATCACGCATCTTTTCTAAAGCTCTGCGGGCCTGGGCTGTGCTGGCCAGGAAACAAGTTTTGGGCAGGCTCACTTTTAGGCCTGTTTCTTTCAAGGTTTTCTTGAGGTCTCGGAATAATTACCCCAATCGCCATGTTGGCCACCCTAACAGGGTTTTTATGGGAAAGGTCAATCCCTATATCGTCTAGCCACTGGTCCATGTGTTGCACCTGGTTTCTTCCAGGTTTTGGCCATGGCAGGGAAAAGCATGACCTTGCTTAGGCCTGGTGCATAAGGGCATCCAGCCAACACCCCAACCTGGGCTTTGACTGGGGGGCTAAAGAGCCCTCTGCCGGAATGTACCGGCTGCCTTGATACACCTGCAAAGCTAGGTTTAGGATTGGGGCAGGAAAATTGTGCTCCAATGCAAGCTTAACGAGTGTTGCATGCTCTATTGACTCGTAAAACGTCTCTAAATCCACCAGGATAGAAACCCCGTGGGCCAAAGCGACATCTAAGGATGAGACTCCGGCTTTCGCCTTGTCCCACGGGGCCGTCAAAGCAAAAGACGCAGCCCACTCCTGGTAGCAAGGCCAGCGACTTTTAGCCCATACACGGTAGGCATAGTGCCTTAGAGCGATTGGTCGCTCCACTCTCTCGTTTTTTGCCAGCATTGTAGTCAAAGACACACAAAGCTGCCCTTGCAAGACGCCCTCCTGTTCCCAATTATGGAAACAAGCCACTAACTCAGCCACCTCAGGGACAGTGAGGGTTTTCAAGAAGGAAGCCGTCCAACCGTCCGGGCCCGACGTTTTGACAGGCATCTTTTTGATGGCTTTGCGCAGCCACTCCGGGCACGCCTTTGGTAAGGTTTTCTGCTGGGCAGCTGCTTCATTTCTAAGGTCCTTGCAGTTGCACAAGGTCCTGCCTTGGCGGGCACCAAAGAGCATGCCAAAAAGCACGCCTTTGGTGCACCCTTACCTCTAGGGCGAAATCCCGAAATGGCCTCACCAGGACTTGCTCCTGCTTTTTGATTGCCCGAAAGAGTGGTCTGAGTGACCCTTGGCACCCTCCATTCCCGGTACTTCGCAGCCTGTTCCTCCAAGCTTTACCAGCCTCGGAGCCCCTAGCTCCAAAACACGCGCCAAAGTCCTCTTTGCTAGTTTGGCCTTTAAAAAAGCAGCTGCTCAAGGGATCTCTGCGCTCTTCTGGGACCAAGTGGTTCCTCCAACAGAGCCCCAATGTCAACGACTCGAACCGGGGCAAACAGAGGGCTTTTGCACCATTTCCAAACGTTTTAAAGGCGTGCGCAAGCTTGCGAGGGGGGATGAGTGGGGCTCGGGAGCAGCACACATGCCGCCCTCTGCCCTGCACTTCTCTATCATTGGACTGCTCCAATCCAAGGCTGAAACGAGCGAACTCTTGGGAAGGGCCATCACACATGGGCTCTTCCAGGAGGAAATGCACACCTTCGGCAAGGTTTTTGTGAAGTTCAAACACCTCATCTGTGCTTAGGGCTTTTTGGCACCCCAATTGCAAGATAGGAATCAAGCCCCATCCCCATCGGAGCTCATGCTCCACCGCACCATGCGGTCGAAACGGTACTGCCCAATTCATCCTGGGTGGTGATCAGGTTTGGCAGGTGGCGACTGGCCAAACCGAAATCCCATTGGTTGCCTGTAAGCACTGTGGCTTGGCCAGGGCACGCCCACACACCCTTAACCTCATGTGCAAAGTTCATGTTTGCCAGCTCACCTGCATCCACATTCCAGTCGCCCACGACCAGATACGATTGCTTGATTTCAGCAAGCTGAGCAGCCATCCATCCTAAGATGCGGGCATTCGTGGGATGGTGGACTCCACCACCTGACAACAGGTAGACATTTCCAATCACCAGGTCCTGGTTTTGAAACCTCGCCACCACAAACTGCACTCCTTTGCCCTCCAACATAAACGACCCTAGTTTCCGGAAATTAAGGTGCCGCTTAGCAGCAATGAGGAGACCCCCCATGGATCCCTTGCCTGGGGCAAAAGCAGGCTCAACAAAGACCTGGTATCCTGCCATCTCCAGACCAACCATCACCTCCACTTGGTCTTTCTCCAGCACATGGGTTTCTTGAAGGCAGATCACCTGGTGCTCTAAACCTTGCATCCAGGTTTTGACCTCCCCCCTGTAACTCATGACATTGGCCTGAGTCACCCTAAGGGTTTTTTGAACTTCCTTCGGACAGGACTCCACAGCGAGGATGTCCTGTGTTACCGCCAAACACCCAGGTAGGTCCGATTGCCCTCTTTCCAAGAGAGCGCACAGCCTATTTAAACACCAAAACTGGAGGGTCCTCTTCACAGAGGTGTTAATGTTTCTCCACAAACTCAACAATTTGTTCTTCTTTCGCAGCAAAATCATCCTTGGGAGGGGCCTCTAAAATCGTCCGTAAGGCCTGCCACGGCCCCACCGACTGACGCCTCAACTCAGCTTTTTTAGCTCTCCTCACCCTAACGGGTTTTTCCCTATGGTGCGCACCGCCTACCTTATTGGAGGGGCGAATTGGAAAACATCGCTCCCTGAGACAATCCTGGAGCTTAAGACCCCTAGGACCCTCCTCTTCGTCATTTTCAACAAGAAGGAGGTCCTCCAGAAAACTCTGTGGAAAATACTTAGCCCCCGAGAGGGCTTGGTGCGACGATTGCCAGCTTTGGCCAGCACTCTGATGGCCAAAGCACCCCTGCTCTCTGGTTTTTTCCAAATCCTGGCCACCTCATGGGGAGGGTTTCGGATGCATCATAAGTGTAGGCCCCGCAGCCCTCCTGCCACAGGCTCTCGACAGGCTGCTCAGGGCCAAACTCCTATGGGGTGCGACTGCGCCCCCTTTCCTGGGTCCGCCTGTCCCTCTCCGCTTGTTCAGCCTCCTTCTGGGCCTCCTCTTCTTTCCGTGCCTTCGCTTCCTCGGAGAGCGGGGCTTGGTGGGCTGGGCCTAAGGCTGCCACCAGCTTCTGAATCTGGTTTTTGTCAGCTACCAAGCTGGAAGAAGAGCGCACTGCCGCATTGAGCGGCATGCTCTCCGCGTGCGCCTCAAAAAACAATGTAGGCAATGTGTTTAGCTCAGCCAGCCACTAAACACACGCACAAAACAAAGTCATGAGGCTCAAAACTTCAGCTAAAAACGAGGTGGAGGGGGGAAAAAACAAGCAGACAGGAAAACATAGCATATATCACAAATGCCGTCATATATTGTAGCAGTCAACTCCTTTGGAACCGAAAAGGGGGGAGCAAGACAAGTCAAAGCAAACAGAAAAACTATTCAAACAGCAACGGGAAGACTCGCACTGGTGGAATGGAACAGATCATACTAATGTGCATAAGTCACAGAACGCGGGCCGCACAGCAGATTTCTTTTGACGCAGGACAGGACCAGGTCTGGGCAGGGGGACAGGACCCCTCTGCTTCGCAACCGGACGAGACCAGTGCGTCAAAAGTTGAAAGGAAATGTGGCATGAGCATCGCGCGTTGTGCAAGTTTGTGAGCCACTGAAGACTGTTAACACACGCACTCAGCCACTGAGAACGGTCACCCCTCTACTTTGCAGCCGAACTGAGCCGGTGCGTCAAAAGTTCGGAAAAAACAGCTGAACTCGCGCGTGACACCGTGCTTTACATGTTTTGCTCAACTTAAACGTCAACGACTCGCACGTCACGAAACAGCCTGTGACCTACCGCCCTACCGACGTTTGTATCGGCTTGCCTCAGGCGTCTCACTTTTCCGCTTCAAGCCGGACCCCGTCGACTGTTTGCCCTTCCCTTTTGCTGGGATACCGAGATCATCGCATACGGCTTGGTGTAACCTCCCAGGACGCCAAGTTCCCTCACGCATCCCTAGCTCTGGCCACACCCCGCCCTTCTTCGCAAAAACTGGCCTCAGCCTCGGATCAAGCCACAGACTGCGAAGTTTTTGCCCTGTCGCACCAAACTGGAACGTTGTCACGAGTACCCATGCCCTATCGTCTTCTGGCGCACGACTCAAATTCGAGATTGCGGATATTCCCACCGTCGAACCCAAGGCCACCAACTCCTCTGCAGCTGTGCTTGCCTCTGTCCCTTGCCTCGAAGCTGCTTCTGACAACGCCCCCAACAGCGCGTCATACACCAGCAACTTAAGCGGTTTACCCTTTTCCTTCGTCCCATTCATCACTGCTTCCCTGTCTGACTGATACACGGCCAAGACCTCTTTGAGTCGAGACCTCAAGAGCCCGGACACGAAAAGAACTATTTGCTGTCCGCTCCGAGCTTCCCCTGAGTCCCTTGACGCCTGCACCGCCAGTTGACTGGTACGTTCCAACTTTCCTGAAACTTCTTCCAGTTGCGAGCGGAGCTGATCCACGTCGTCAGCATTCACGGAAGAACGGGTGTCTCGGCCTCTGTCACGGTCCTTGTCTGGACGGTCACGGTCACGACGGTCACGCTCACGAGCCATGGTGTTGCTACGCTTGTCAAGCTTGTGGGATTTGAGAACGCGCGGAAACACATGTGGCTTGTGAACACTGACATTGCTGGACTGCACAACAACACACACTGACAGAAGCTTGAACTCATGTTTGCAGTCCAAAGTGCGACTGTCGCACCTTCGCGGCGTACTGGAGTCAACTTACCCCTCCGATTCTTCCCAGATTAAAACTTCATGATCCCGCAAATGTTCAGCAGTTCTGTGTCGCTTAAAAGTTAATACATTCGAGATTTGAACAGGGTTCGGATCTCCGCGACTGCGACATAAGGGGCAGGGCGCAGGAAACGCATCGCTCGGTATTTCATGTGCTTCTGCTATGTGTAACCGCAACATGGGCTCTCCGGGGTACACACTTCTACAGTGGGGGCACACCAAAGCCGGAGAATTTTCAATGTGATCCCGCCTATAATGTTGCGTTAGCTTGTTTTGTCGCGCAAACAGTCTAGGACATAACGCACATTGGAATCCTTCCTCCCGAAAGGTACCTGTGGTATGAGTTGCCTGTATATGGGACGCTAATCCAAGCTTAGTAGGAAAGACGCGCTTACAAATGGCACATTTATAATTTCCTTCTTCGTGTATTGTTGAGGAAACTGTTTGTCGTGACTTAGGTGTTTTCATACCCTTAGTCATGCGTTGTACTGCCCATTCAGGGTCTTGCTCTTGTGCTTGGGCCCGACCTGGACCTTCTGGATCCGGAAAACATGCTGGACGTGCTTGTTTAAAGTAGAGCCGACGTTTAACAGATGTATTTACAAGATTAGTTTTAGTTTGTGTGGCCAGGGCTTCTGTCAGCGTTTTTTGATGTTGTATCGTACGGAGGAATAGCAAAAATAATCCCAGGTCAACTTCCACCTCTAGTACATCCACCCACGGTTCGTGTTCAGTAACGAATTGCAGCAACTCCCTCGTTTCAGTGTCCCACCAATTGTCTGGCCCATTTGTTTCCAACCAGGTTGCTACTGCTTTGCGAAACGTAGTTTCTCCTCCATGTTTTAACTCCATGCTCAAGAAGCCCGAACTAACTTTGGCCTCTTGCAATACGGCCTGCTGGCGTTGCACCAATTGCCAGAACGCTGCGCGGGGTTCATGAGGGCGAAGGTTTTTACTTTTTGCGGCTGTCTGGCCTAGCTCCGGCAACGGCTTGAACGGATTTTTGGGCTGGTGCCACGGTGCCGCCTGAAACACAATTTGTCTCCAATTCGCACCGCCATTTTTCCTAGCCATGTGCAACCATTCCAGTTTGGGCACTGCTACCAACTCGAGGTCGTTAACAAAGTCGAAGGACAACCATTTCCCTGTTCGCCTTCCTGGTTTTGTCGGGGCACCTACATCTCCCGGCAGAAAGGCAAATAGCATTTGCTTTGGCAACCTCTCCGGTGCCATGCCAGGTGGCCTAGCCATCTTAATCGTGTGACACCAACTGCCTAATGGTAGGGACCCCCAGTCGTGCCCGCAATTCCTGATTGTTGATATGTAACTGCTCCTGGTCCAGAATTCCAATTTTTGTAATTTTCCTTAAACATTTCATGTGAAAGACCTCTAATCTTCGTCTACAGAGAAAGGTGGTGGTCCAAGATTCCGCTCCATACAACAATACTGAGAGCACACACGCCCTGTATACTTGTAACTTAACGGCCAGGGAGATCTGTTTGACATCCCATACGTGACTTGCTAAACTCCAAAAGGCTTTTCTAGCTTTGTCTATACGATATTGTATCTCCTGTACACATCCTTGTTTATGCTCGATATGTGATCCCAAATATTTATTAAATTTGTCAGCAAATTTGAGCTTTGAGAAGCCTCCCACCTCTTTAACAGAGATTGGATCCGGTGTCTCTCCTTCTGTCAGGAACAGCTCAGTTTTTTCTACAGACATAGTCAAGCCCCATTGAAAATAGTGATTTTGCAAATCCCGCGCCAGCTGTACTAACTTATCATACGTGTCCGTGATAAAGGCCGCATCGTCAGCATATCCAAGGTCATGCAGCTGTAAGGAGTGCCAAGTCGTGTATTTGTTAAGAGATTGCTCATCCATATGTCTGCGCAAGATACCATCAATACGGTACTTAAATTCCAGTTTTGGAGGGGTGCAAGTTTCCCAGCTTTCCATGACTGCTGATAGGAATACATTAAAAAGTAGCGGCGCCAAACAACAGCCTTGGCCCAAACCAGTGGCCAAATCGAACGGGGAGGATAGAGTTCCTTCAACCGACACTCGTGCCGTTTTTCCTTGGTAAAATTTTTTGATGAGACTAACCAGTGTTGGAGGCACTCCCTTATACTGTAAAATTTCCCATAGTCCGAATCTTGATACAGAATCGTAAGCTTTCATAAGATCTACGAAAAGTACATACAACGGCAGATGTTTTGCTCTAGCTAACTCTATGGCCATTCTTAATGTAAAGATCATATCGGTGGTTCCGCGGCCCGCACGGAATCCGCATTGTGATTCAGGAATGGCCTGATGTCCTTCAAAATGTTTGACTAGTCGACCGTTAATAATTTTAGCGAGCACCTTTCCTGGAACAGCATTTAAAAGGATGCCTCTCCAGTTAGCACAGTCGGCTAAATCTCCTTTTTTTGGCATAGGAATGAGATATGCATCGTTCCATTCTCCTGGTATATCCTGGCATCCTATCCAGAGTTGACAAAGGTGTTCATGTAAAGATCGCAAAACCGGATATGATAGGACCTGAAGCACCTCGGCCGGTAGCCCATCAGGTCCGGTGGCCTTACCTTTTTTGAGGGACTTTACCGCAGCCAGCGTTTCAGCAAAAATGGGCAATTCCGCAAGTACATTTTGGACGGGCAGTCGTTTAATTTGTGGGAGCATGTCCTCATTTAGCGGCGCATCTACATTAAGCAGGTTTTGAAAGTGTTCTCTCCATCTATGTACCCTATCTGTACGTGACTCCAGCAAATTACCTTTTTTATCCTTAACTTTCGCAGGTGCTCTTTTGCCCGAGTGAAAAACTTTCCGCAATTGACGAAAGCCCTGGTATTGATGGTTTGGTTCCTTCCTATTGACAGCTTGTTGTATGGCCTCAGCCTGTGTTGACCACCATTGATTTAAGATTGACTGAACTTGTTTCCGGTTCTCTCGACAGATGCGTCTATACTCTGTCTCTTTTTCAGGATGGGCTTGAAATTGGGCGAATGCCTCTTGTTTAATTTTGGATAACCTTGCTAGCTCCTCTGCATTATCGAGTTGCCATTGTGGTCTGCGTTTTCGTTCCTGAGTACCGATGACGGTTTCTGCAGTTGAGCGCACGTCTTTTGACCAGAGAGAAAGATTATTCAGGATTCCTTCCCCTATATTACTTTCGATGTTGTCGTTAAGAGACTGCACTACATCCTTGTCAGTGAGGCGAGCCACGTTTAACGCCGTAATTCTCCCTTTCGACTCCATGGTCTGCAAATGACGTCGTCCCCACCATTGTTTACACTTACGTGTGATACGCAAGTCTAGTCTTACCAGTCGGTGATCACTATCAAAATCAAGTCCGGGCATTACACATACGTCCATGCACATAGCCGCAGTGTCTGAAGACAGAAGTACGTGATCTATGTGATGCCATTGCTTTGTCCTATTGTGTTGCCATGTTCCGTAAGTCTTATGCTGGAAAAAGGTGTCCATTACTCGCAAGGGCTTACCACGCTGCGACCTGCAAAAATCTAACAACAACCTGCCATTGTCGTTTAGCTCTGGCAGCCCAAAATCCCCAACAACAATGTCAGAGGACTGTTCATCAGTGTCCATGTCATCGGGTCCCTGTCTGTCCGAGGTTCTTGTCCCAACCCTTGCATTGAAATCTCCCATAATGACTAGTTCCTCGCACGCACGACACTTCCCTGTGAGACTCCTCAAATCATCATAAAATTTGTCTTTCTCAATTTCGGGCGCTCTAAACGTTGGGGCATACACAGAAATCACCCGAAATGTTCTGTCCTCAATACGCACTTTGATTTCTAATAGCCTCTCACTGTGATAGTTGACATATGACCCAGCTGCCCTCCATGCTTGCTGCATCTTTGGATTCAATGCAAATGCTACTCCATGTAGGGAAACAGGTGCATCTTCTGGTAATCCCGAGAAGATATACAGAAAGTCTTGCGCCTCAAAGGTACCTTGTCCTTTCCAGCGAACTTCCGACATGGCACACAGCGAGATGTCATGTTTATCCAACAAATCACACACGTCATATGGTTTCCCCGGATCGGCTCCTTCAATATGCAATACTCCCCCTACATTATGTATTTTGGTCTGCATAGTACGAACATTGACGGCTCCCCACCTCCATCGCGTAGAATGCCTCCTTGAGTGCTTAGTAGTCAGGCGGTTGCCAGCCGCCTTCACTATTGGCTGATCGCACACAAGTTGGCAAGGTCGTGATTTCATATCGCGGTCTTGGGCAAGAGAAAGAAGGGTGAACAGCTTGCCAGGCTGAACACCCTTTCAGGGACGCAAATCGCCAGTGGGACCCACCGAAGTGGGGACCGTACCACTTTTGATTAACGCCCCCATTTGCGTCTACCGTTAGCTGCTGTGTCAAAGCGAAGCTTGTAAATTTGCACAACTGACGCCCCCAAATTAACAACTCACACACACAACAAGAAAGTACAGCAGGTACACCCCGACACCTGAGCACCTGCCTGGGCAAGCAGGTACTCTTCTTTGAGGTGGTAGTACGACTTTGTCGAGGAGCTACCAAGCCTGCCGTGGTCAAAGCCGCCCCCAGCTTTGCTTCCTGCAGCGCATCGTCTGAAGCAAGGTTGGGAACCTGTTGCTGTAGCCTCACCTGCAAGTCACATACCTTTTGCTGCGCCACTGCTTCTTCCTTTTGAAGGCTCGCCATTTCTTCCAGCAGTGCAGCGTACTTTTCCTTTGCCTCGTTGATGCTGCACTGGAGTTGTGCTTTCCGCCAAATCAGTTTCCGCATCCCAACCGTGGCTTCTTTGTACTCCTTATGCACCGACGGCAGCGCCTGTTCGGCCGTCGGTTTTGGAACTGCAGGTTGCAACGCGTCCTTCTTGGGCTGCGGCAGCTCATCCTCATATTGATTGCACAGGTCTGTGAGGCTCTTTTGCTCCGGCTTGGGTTCACAGACTCCAATCTTGTTTAGGAGCTCACGCTGCACCGGGTCGGCCTGAGCCCACAATTCCTTGAGAGCCTCTTCGTAGTCCGCTTTCGCCTCTACTGTTCTTTGGGCACCTCCCTGGGAGGATTTGCCACCATCCAGACCCGGAGGCGGCGTGGGCTTTTCGTATTTGCTTCGGGGCTTCCTGCGTCTGTTTTGCTTGGGAAAACCGTACCACTCATTCCAGGTGTCTCCTGGGGCGGGCATGTCTTGCATGTAGTTGCCCTGGGTTCCACTCAGCAGCTCCTTGAGTGGCCAGGGCCTCAAGCAAAAGTTGCAGTAGGGTTGTTTATGCACCCTGTCAAGGTAAACCCACGACTTTTCACAGTGGTTACACCACACCAAAACCATGGCACCAAAACCATGGCACCTAAGATCCAAAATGGGGCGCTCAGCGCCTGTTGCTAACGGTAATAGCTCCGTGAGCTTTCCCGTGGCCCACACCCACAGCCTGAAGTCCGACCTGTTCGCCTCTCAAAGGGAAAGAACAAGCCTTGGCACCTCCAATGAGGATTAGTGTAGAAAGGACCCTACCCTTCAGCTGACCTCCAAAGGTTGCACCACAGCTGGTGTTGGTCCCACAAGGAAAGACAGGAAGACCTCACCTCCTCTGAGGCTTCAATGGCCACTACAACAAACTGGGGTTAAGCAGGGGCCTGTTTCCTCACGAAACGTTCGAAAACCGCAGCCCAGTTTGACAGCCACTCTCTACCTCCACAGGAAGCCCTTGAGCACCACTACCACCACCAACCACCACCACCACCACCACCACCACCACCACCACCACCACCACCACCACCACCACCACCACCACCACCACCACCACCACCACCACCACCACGACCACGACCACGACCACGACCAAGACCAAGACCAAGACCAAGACCACGACCACGACCACGACCACGACCACGACCACGACCACGACCACGACCACGACCACGACCACAACCACAACCATGACCACCGGCACCACCATCACCACCACCACCGCCGCCGCCGCCGCCACCGCCACCGCCACCACCACCACCACCACAACCACCACCACCACCACCATAGTGCGTACTTGACGCTATGCTTGTCCTTACTTTTTACCAACCTGAGACTCGCGTTTTGAGCGCATTGCATTGCACTGGTTTTCTCCAGGGCGGTGAATTCAGCTATTGCTTGTTTCACAGAATTTTGCTAAGCTCGAGTTGCACTGCTTCTCGGCTTTCGGCTGCCTTTTCGGGTTAGTTGAAGGACCAATCCAGCGCGGAGTTTTCAAAGCACCTTCGCTGCTCCAAAACAGCTGCGCGTTTAAGAAGGGCCACCCTCCGCTTCCTGCGCCAGTATATGTGGTAGGTCCGTAAGGGTTCTGGATAAATGGGTTTTCAGGTGCCCATCCCTCGTACCCTGGTAGGTGCTGGGAAAAGGACACAGCACACGATTTCAGGGGGTTTTCTGGCAAAAACCCGAAACCCTTAAGCCTAAATCCTGACGCCCTAAACCGGGGTACATATCCGATTTACTCGAATGCTCTTTAAGCTCTTCTCTCTTTCTCAGGTTTCTGGGTTCTGCAGTTTCTTTCTAGTTTCAAGGCCAGTGAAGTGTTTTTTAACTAAGGGCAGCATTCATTTGCGCCAGCTTTGGACGATGGGTCTTTTATAAGTACGTCCCAACTCTGTGGCTGGGGCGGTACCATTCTGCATGCCATCGCATTTCATAAGCTCCAAAAATCCTCAAGATTGAATGTCGGTCGATTTTGCAACCTGAGCTCGGGGACCTGGCGATTCGAAGGTTGTGCTCCTAAGCCCAGCTATGTGTGTCTGTCTTGCTTGTAGTTTTACCGTACGCCCTTAAACCGCCCAGTCTAAACTTTGCAGATTGGAAGGTGGTTGCATAGTCGCCTGCATGGATATGTCGAGAGAGTTTCAGACTGTTTTTTTTTGCCCGCTCGGAACCCATGAGCTGCATTTAGGCCTGGCACGGCGTTCATCATGGTTTCGATGTTTTATCAAAGTGTCGATGGCCTGTGCTGGCACGTGATAAAACAAGGGGATCCCAGGATTGCTTGGATTGGGCTTGGACAGGTTCGTTGTACAGCATTTCTTTTCACACGGCTCGACAGCTTGAACATGATGTGCAACACAAACTCATGGTTGGTTGGATGACAAGAATGTTTCCATTCGTTGAATGGCACGTCGCATTGCGCATGCAAGATGCGATTGGCACTCAGAACTTTGCATCTAGCAATCCAGCAGCCTTCACACCAACTTGTCGCAAGTGTAGTGCAGCTTCCATATTTCATGTGGCGAGTTGTGTCGATTCTTTGTTCGATCCCGCATGTCGTTGGAACAGGGGGCGAGCTCTGGGCAAAAGCGCCTCCCTCTTGTGTACAGTTTTGGGACCAGTTGCGCATGAAAGATGTTCAACCCCTGAGGGTTGATGATGGTTTGTCAGACAGCAGCATCCAGCACATCCAGCAATTTTTGGAGCGGGTTCCTCTTGACTCAGCAACTTCCTGTTTGGAAGCTGCTATTTCAGCAGCCACGCCGATGGATGCGGTGTTGATGTCACACGTGGCCGAACATTTTGCCAAGCTTCCTCATTGCCTCAATGAGCTGATGTCAAAGTCTGAGGCTGCTTGTCATGTTCGCAGTTCCATCATCCGCTTCCAGATTCGACCTCATGTTTGACAGGCTGAGACTCGCTGTGCCCAAAGATGGTACAAGATTGCAATTCATGTGCTGAAAGCTACTTGGATGTCATGGTCGTCTGAATCGGGTTTGCAAGCCCTATCCTGAGACCCTTGTGCTTCCGAACCTTGGGCTCACGCACCCGAAGCCTGAGGTGAACGATTTGCACAATGATGCCGAGTCCATGTGGCGTCGTGCCAAGGCTCTTAAACATAGTGATGGACGGGCTCTCATTGGTTGGCCAAGTCCGTCACAGTCCCCCACTATATGGGCCCCCCGCTTCAGATTCATGGCCGTAGTTTTGCTCGGGAGGCATATCGTTTTAAGAGTGTGCAGCACTCAGTTTCCATGATTTGCAAGCAAGGTTTCTGATTTGCCGAGTCGGCCCTTTTGGAACTGTTCCCTCTGGCCATTCATGAAGGCCCTGGAGGCACGTTTGGATCGCACTTGCATCCCCACGTGCTTTCGTCATCATGCCGTGAAACTGTGTGAGTTTTGCTTGAGTTTCGTTCCTTTGTCTGGGTCTCAGGATTCCGCACAACTCATACTGGAAGAGGTTGCGCGCATGGACTCCGAGTTCCTGACAGCCTATCCATACTTGAAGACATCTGGCATCATTCAGTCAAGGAGGGCAGCCCGAGTTTCTTTTAGTTTTCTGCTTGAGACTGAGTCTAAGTAGGCTAGTGACTACAGTGCTTACCGAGGACTGCAGGAGTCTGGCAAGACTTTTTCCTATATCGAGGCAAACGAAGAAGTGCCATTGCTTGTCTCTTCTTAGAAGACTCTTCTTGTTGTGTGCTGTTTTTCTTGTTTCGCTTTTTTTTTGAAGGTCACCGGTGGAACGCGACACTCTGCGAGCTCATGCCGCGCACTTGTCACCTTCTGCTTCCGGAGCTGCCGACACGCCCTGGTACCCCCTATGTCACCGTCCTTTGGCAGGCAATGCTGGTTCGCTTGTCTAAGGGGTTCCATTTTTTTGCTATTTTCTCTTGGTAGTTCTAGATGGAGGCCTTGGAGGTCACGACATTTTAGACCTGGGTTGGCAACAACGTGACAAGGTCTACAATGAGGAAGTTGTGATTTTTCGATCAAAGCCTGGAGCCGCGGTGGGAGCACACTGCGGATCATCAAATGCAGTGATCAATTTGCACCTGACTCTGAAGGGAGGCGTGGAACTGTGTTACAGCTTCACCAGATGTCATGAAGTCTCTAAGCAGCATGCAACACCCTCAGGCCGTGGAACCTCGATATCTGTGGACGGCATAAAAGCTGACCTGCACGATGGCACAGCGATCTGCTTTCAGGACAGCTATTTCCACGCAGTGAATCATGGCCTGGACGGTGAGGAAGAGCGCATCTCCCTAGTCCTCCGGGTGATGCATCCAGGCTTAAGTTTGGATTTGCTGAGCGGCGTTGGCCGTACAGATGATGTGCTTTGGCTGAAGGTCAGTTTCTGAATTTTCTGTGGCTCGAAGCCCCTCTTTGTGCATGTGCATCAATAGCGACATTAAGGTGCGAGACCTCGAAGCCTGGGACAGAAGTGCCAGCCTCTTGCAGGAGGTTGAGCGCCTCAGAGCAGAGTATCGAAGGCTCGCAGCCTCCGTCAAAAAGAAGGAAGCCTTGACGCTTGTCTTCATCGGGGCACACATGTGGGGATCGGCAATCTTTGCAGAGTTGTTTGTACTTTGGAGAACAGTAGCTTTGGATTTCCATGAACAGCAGTTTGCCCAACTGCACCTGCGGATTTTTTTTTTGGCACGTCGGCTTCGGCTTCGGTGACTTTATGTGACATTCGTGTTGCAAGGAGCTCCGAGTCCTGCCAGACTTGAGCCGGAATCATCCTGCAAGGACCCGATCCTTGCAGACGGTCGGTTGGATAGCTTATTCAGTTTATTCTTTATCTTGCCAGTGCTGTGCCAAAGTGCATGGCCGCTCCTCCCGAACTTGCCCACCTCCTGTGCTGCATTTTCGCAAAAAGTGCTTGGCCGTGACAACCCGCATACGTACCAAGTTTCCACGTCCTTCGAGTTCGCTTTTGGCTGTGGGGCGGAGTGCTTTTGATAGTTGCGGGTTGGTTTACAGTGCGGCCTTCGGGGGGTTCAATGCAAGGGACGGCCAATGAAGAAGTAGCTGGCATTTACTCGCTTTGGATGTTAAAGTTAACGGACCATCTGAGGTTTGATGTGACAGTGAAAGTCAAGGGATCAAGGCCCTAATTCCTAAACCCTCGGGTCCCAAAATACAAAACCCTAAACCCTACCGTAATTTTGCTAAGCCCACAGCACTAAACCCTAAAGAGTTTGGGCTGACGGATTCATGTGAGGGCTGTGGTGGACGGTGAGGCTTTCTACAGTTTCGATCGCCTCAGCGTGAGCCCCTGTGCCGCCACACATGTTGGGCTTCAGTTGCACAAGCGTGCCAGCTTCACACATGCCTGACCATATTGGCCGTACTGTACGGTTCTTGGCAAGCCATATCCGGTATGCTGAGTGATGCGGCATAGTGCTCATGGCCGGTATTTGACAAGTGCGAGATGTTGACAGCAAGCCTCAGCCAAACTCGGGATCTGGAAGTCGTCGGTTTTCAATATTACGAGAGCCCTTAAGTGGGATTCTCACGCCATGTAGCAGCCGCTGACTATGGGTGACTCGAGCGAATCGTGCACTGAAACCCATGCAGCAGCAGGGCTGGCTAACATTGCAGTCATCGCTTCACGGCAGCAGGAGCATACCAACCTCAGTCTGCTGTCGAACAAAAGTTTGTTTGCTGAGTTTCGTTGCATTTCTCGTGCCAATCGAATTCCCAAGAACCTGAGGTTGAGAACCCGAGTGATTGGAACAATTTGGACAGAATTCGTAGAGCATGTGCCGTCTTCCGCAACACAGACGTTCGCCTAATACAAGATACAACCAAGCCCCAGGACGGAGCATGTGATGGAAAAAGGGGGCTTTGCAGCTGCCAGGCAACTTGACGGGTGTCAGTTGAGCCAGTTGAGCTGCGAGGATCCTCGATGCCGAAAGTGCCTGGTTCTGGGTGATCGAGCAGATCTTGGCGATTGCCGAATGTTGCAGAGCACGTCAGCTTGCTTGCAGGACAGGTTGTCGAAGTACATGTTGGTTACTATTGCTTGTCTTACTGAAGTCTTACTGCCTGTAGAGGAGCTAGCTTCTCAAGGCTACCTGTCGATGGCAACAGCACTCGATGAGTCCAGCGCAGGCACCCAAGTGAAACGTCGGGAGACGCGTTTTTGTGCAAACGTCCCACCTCTTGAACTGATGAGGTGAATCTCTATGACCTCGATTTCACAGCAAAAGGGAAGATTGCCATATGGTTTGGCCAGGACGTGACAAGAAGAAAGGGTTCTGAAGCGATGCAGAGCTGAATGTTTGAGGAGAAGTATGGCCTCACCGACGAGGCTCTCAATGCGGCCGCAACGTCGGGGCCCTTTGGTATGTGTGTGGAAAAAATCTGGATTGGGACACACACACACACATATATGTATATATATATATATATATATGTGAGAGAGCCCTTTCGGGTCTATTTTGCGTATCCTCTTGCTTGCCTTCTATTTAATTAATTTAATTAATTTAATTAATTTAATTAATTTAATTAATTTAATTAATTTAATTAATTGAATTAATTGAAATCAACAAATTTCTTTTGCGAATTCAATTAATTGAATTAATTCAATTAATTCAATTAATTGGATTAATTGAATTAATTGAATTCGAAAAGCCTCTTTCGCTAATTCAATTAATTCAATTAATTCAATTAATTCAATTAATTGGATTAATTGAATTAATTGAATTCGAAAAGCATCTTTCGCTAATTCAATTAATTCAATTAATTCAATTATCTGTTTTTTTTTTAACAAAGATTTTCCCTCTATTGAATTAATTCAATTAATTCAATTTCAATTAATTCAATTAATTCAATTAATTCAATTAATTCAATTAATTCAATTAATTCAATTAATTCAATTAATTCAATTAATTCAATTAATTCAATTAATTGAATTAATTGAATTAATTGAATTAATTGAATTAGCGAAAGATGCTTTCGAATTCAATTAATTCAATTAATCCAATTAATTGAATTAATTGAATTAATTGAATTAGCGAAAGATGCTTTTCGAATTCAATTAATTCAATTAATCCAATTAATTGAATTAATTGAATTAATTGAATTAATTGAATTAATTGAATTAATTCAATAGAGGGAAAATCTTTGTTTAAAAAAAAAAAAACAGATAATTGAATTAATTGAATTTAATTCGAAAGATGCTTTTCGAATTCAATTAATTCAATTAATTCAATTTCGAATGTTAATTCAATTAATTCAATTATGTGGGGTTCCCTAATCGAAATCCGGATTTCCCGCGTATTGAATTAAATTAAAAGCAATTAATTCAATTAATTCAATTAATTGATTCAATTAATTCAATTAATTGGATTAATTGATTAATTGAATTAATTGAATTCGAAAAGCATCTTTCGCTAATTCAATTAATTCAATTAATTCAATTAATTGGATTAATTGAATTAATTGAATTCGAAAAGCATCTTTCGCTAATTCAATTAATTCAATTAATTCAATTAATTCAATTAATTCAATTAATTCAATTAATTGGATTAATTGAATTAATTGAATTCGAAAAGCATCTTTCGCTAATTCAATTAATTCAATTAATTGAATTAATTGAATTAATTCAATACGCGGGAAATCCGGATTTCGATTAGGGAACCCCACATAATTGAATTAATTGAATTAATTGAATTCGAAAAACCTCTTTCGCTAATTCAATTAATTCAATTAATTCAATTAATTGGATTAATTGAATTAATTGAATTCGAAAAGCATCTTTCGCTAATTCAATTAATTCAATTAATTCAATTATCTGCTTTTTTTTAAAAAACAAAGATTTTCCCTCTATTGAATTAATTCAATTAATTCAATTAATTCAATTATTTCAATTAATTCAATTAATTGGATTAATTGAATAAATTGAATTCGAAAAGCATCTTTCGCTAATTCAATTAATTCAATTAATTCAATTAATTGGATTAATTGAATTAATTGAATTCGAAAAGCATCTTTCGCTAATTCAATTAATTCAATTAATTCAATGAATTGAATTAATTGAATTAATTGAATTAATTGAATTAATTGAATTAATTGAATTAATTGAATTAATTGAATTAATTGAATTAATTCAATACGCGGGAAATCCGGATTTCGATTAGGGAACCCCACATAATTGAATTAATTGAATTAATTGAATTCGAAAAACCTCTTTCGCTAATTCAATTAATTCAATTAATTCAATTAATTGGATTAATTGAATTAATTGAATTCGAAAAGCATCTTTCGCTAATTCAATTAATTCAATTAATTCAATTAATTCAATTATCTGTTTTTTTTTAAAAACAAAGATTTTCCCTCTATTGAATTAATTCAATTAATTCAATTAATTCAATTATTTCAATTAATTCAATTAATTGGATTAATTGAATTAATTGAATTCGAAAAGCATCTTTCGCTAATTCAATTAATTCAATTAATTCAATTAATTGGATTCATTGAATTAATTGAATTCGAAAAGCATCTTTCGCTAATTCAATTAATTCAATTAATTCAATTAATTGAATTAATTGAATTAATTGAATTAATTGAATTAATCGAATTAATTGAATTAATTGAATTAATTCAATACGCGGGAAATCCGGATTTCGATTAGGGAACCCCACATAATTGAATTAATTGAATTATTTGAATTCGAAAAACCTCTTTCGCTAATTCAATTAATTCAATTAATTCAATTAATTCAATTAATTGGATTAATTGAATTAATCGAATTAGTTAGATTAATTAAATTAATTAAAGTGTCCATAATCTGAGTTATCATAATTATGATAACTTTAGGTTCCCAAACCTGAGTTATCATGATTATGATAACTTTAGGTTCCCAAACCTGAGTCATCATAATTATGATAACCTTAGGTTCCCAAACCTGAGTTATCATAATTATGATAACTTTAGAGTCACCAACTGGAGTTATCATAATTATGATAACTTTAGAGTCACCAACTGGAGTTATCATAATTATGATAACTTTAGAGTCACCAACTGGAGTTATCATAATTATGATAACCTTAGGGTCCCACCCCTGAGTTTATCATAATTATGATAACTTTAATTCACAGCTTCACCTTAAGAGAGAGGTGCGCGAATAGGGAGGTGTAATATGAGCTCAAAATCTTAGGGACCATGGCTTGCGATTTGACTCCTTGCAGCAAAAAAGGAGCCTAAAATCTTAAGGACCAGGGCTTGCGATTTGAATATACTGGGCAAAAATAGAACGCAAACTCTTAGGGAACGGGGCTTGCGATTTGACTCTTTTGAGCAAAACATTAACCCAAAACTGGGCCCAAAATCTTAGGGACCAGGGCTTGCGACGCTACTCTTTGGAGCAAAAAATGCGCCCAAAATCTTAAGGACCAGGGCTTGCGATTTGACTCTTTGGAGCAAAATTTGAACCCAACATCTTAGGGACCAGGGCTTGCGATTTGACTCTTTGGAGCAAAATTTGAACCCCAAATCTTAGGGACCAGGGCTTGCGATTTGACTCTTTGGAGCAAAAACTGGGCCCAAGATCTTAGGGACCAGGGCTTGCGATGTCACTCTTTGAAGCAAAAAATGAACCCAAAATCTTAGGGACCAGGGCTTGCGATTTGACTCTTTGGAGCAAAATTTGAACCCAACATCTTAGGGACCAGGGCTTGCGATTTGACTCTTTGGAGCAAAATTTGAACCCAAAATCTTAGAGACCAGGGCTTGCGATTTGACTCTTTGGAGCAAAACTGGGCCCAAGATCTTAGGGACTAGGGCTTGCGATGTCACTCTTTGGAGCGAAAAATGAACCCAAAATCTTAGGGACCAGGGCTTGCGATTTGACTCTTTGGAGCAAAAACTGGGCCCCAAATCTTAGGGACCAGGGCTTGCGATTTGACTCTTTGGAGCAAAAACTGGGCCCCAAATCTTAGGGACCAGGGCTTGCGATTTGACTCTTTGGAGCAAAATATGAACCCAAAATGTTAATGTTTTCTGGAACCCCACAATAAAAAACTTACCAATTTTGCTAATTTTATAGATTTTACCTTTAACGTAAAATTGAGAAAATAATAAAATTGATACGAAGACGCACCATTAAGCCAAACATCACATAACCAAATAATAAAAAACTGACTAATTTTATCAATTTTAATGCTTTCTGGGACTCCGTAAAATCAGAATCTATGAGGTATATTAATTTATCATGTGCATCAATATTAAATTGAAAATAAAACCGGAAAATAAAAATATAAGATTATATATATTTTTTTTGTTTATTATTGTTTCACCAATTTCATTTCAAATGATCTTTTTGAAAAAAAAACAAAAAAGGAAAACGAAAAATTTAACAGTTTCACAAATGCAGAGTACATATATATAATATATGTACATACAATATGAGTACAGAGTCGTAACCAGAGTATTGTTGTTTTGCTTAGTGGTGCGTCTTTGCTCTATATGTGCTTGTTTTGCTTGCTGCTATGTCTTCGCTTACTATATGCCTGTTTGGTTATGTGATGTTTTGCTTAGTGGTGCGTCTTCGATCTAGATGCGCTTGTCTTGCTTATTGGCGCGTCTTCGCTTCCTACATGTTCTATATGCTGTTGTTATACTTATTGGTGCGTCTTCGCATACTATTTGCGGTTGTCTTGCTTAGTGGTGCATTAAACCCTATCTTCAGCTCCTTGCAACCTCCGTTTTTGGACATGTTCAATTTTTCCTGGTTTTACTGATGTTCACCAATAGCAAGCCTTAAAACGTTCAAACCAACACTTTAAACACTGATCCCTAAACCCGAAATCTTAAACCCTAAGCCGCCTTATAAACCCTTAGCCTGTCTTCAACTCCTTACAACCTCCGTTTTTGGACATGTCCCATCTTGGTCTGGTGTTTATTGGTTTTCGCCTATACAAAACCCAGAACTTTCAAGCCAACACTTCAAACCCTAAACCCTAAACGCCATTTTTGGACATGTCCATTTTCCCTTGTCTTTCTGATTTTCATCTATAGGTTTTAATAGTTATTTGATCATAATAGCGTTCATACTGATATTGATAGGAACCCCATTAATTTTTAGATAGAATCATATCAAGACGAATAGGATTCTTTTCATGTGTTTTTTGATGAATTGTAGTAAGATTCATATTCATATTCACGTTAACAGAATTCTTCTTAATCTTAATAACATTCACACTAAGATGAACAGGATTCCTATTGAAATAATACTCCTATTAGATTTAACTCTTATTTCCTGCAAAATGCATTCCTGCAAAAAGATAGAGGAGGGTTTCTCATGACCTATTGCGAGATAGAGAGAAGCTCTTTCATGTAAGAGGTAGGAAATGGCAGAGCTGAGCGCTCCTCCTACCTAGTGACAGGAAATGAAAAACACAGAGAGCTTCCATCCGTTTTACGAATGAGTTCCTTTATCTCTGAATAGGAGATGAATGAGCTCCTCTATCTTCTCAAAGGAAACGCAAGAATGGAAGCGAACGAAGTCCGCTATCTTTTAATGCGTAGAAGATATAGAAAAGCTTGCTCACTGCGCATTTAGAAGCGGAAGTGAAAGAGAAAGCAAGGGCACTCTGTCACTTCTTACAAAGAGATAGAAGAGCTTTCGGATGACCTCTTAATAGATAGAAGAAACTCTCTCCTGCAAACGATTGAGATTGACGAGCTGTGTCATGTCCCATGTAAGGGATAGAGAAAGTCCTTCAAAACTTTGTTTAGGGCAAAGGAGAGATCTCAAGCAAAAAGGTAGAAGAGCTCTGTCATTTCCTATAAGAGATAAACGGCTTCTTTCATTACTTGAAAAACTATTTCTGAAAAATAGACATAATAGAGAACTCCTCTTTCATTTCCTGCAAGAAGATGGAGCAGGTGTCTCATGACCTATTGCGAGATAGAGAAGCTCTTTCATGTAAAAGATAGGAAATGGTAGAGCTGCGAATTCTTCTACCTATTGACGACATATGACAACGATAGGACATGAGTGAGCTCTTATGATCTCTTATGTAGTACCAGTGCATTCTTCTATCTCTGAGTAGGAGATGAAAGAGCTCCTCTATCTTCTCATAGGAAACAAAAGAAGTCCTGTATAGGAAACGAAAAGACCCTTTGATAAACCAACAAAAGAACGGACATGAGTTGATGTCATCCATCTTGTTAATCATCATGAGAGATGGGACATGAAAGAGCTCCTCTTTTGTTTGGAAATGAACTAGTTTTTTTTGAGTGAAGGATCTCTCTTTCGAGTAAATGAGATATCTCTTCTAGGTCCCTCTGTCTCGTAATTGGAAATGAAAGAGTCCTCCCCCCCTCCCCCTCCCCTCTAACTTCTCATAGAAAATGGTAAAAATGGAAATGGACGATGCCCTGTATCTTTTCACGCAGCATATGAGAGAGCTCCTCTCTCTCCTAATGGGACATGAAATTCCTCCTTTGTTTTCAATGAAAGATCTCTCTCTCGAGGAAATGAGATGTTCTATATCTCTTTCTAGGAAACATTTCAAGTAGGAGAAAGGCTCCTCTCATGTAAAAGATAGAGATTGATGAGTTGCGGCGTGTCCTATTTAAGGGATAGAGAAAGCCCTGCGAAACTGTTAGTTAGAGTAAAGGAGAGATCTCAAGTAGAAAAGGTAGAAGAGCTGTGTCATTTCCTATGAAGAGATAAACGGCTTCTCTGATGACCTCTTCATTGATAGAGAAGCTATTTCTGAAAACTCGACATAGTAGAGAACTCTCTCTCTCATTTCCTGCGAAAAGCTAGAGGAGGTCTCTCACGACGTATTGCGAGATAGAGAAGCTCTTTCATGTACCAGATAGGAAACGGTAGAGCTGAGGATTCCCCTACCTATTGACGACATATGAAAAAGATAGGACATCAGAGAGCTCTTTTGATCTCTTACGCATTACCAATGTACTCTTCTATCTTTGAGTAGGAGATGAAAGAGCTCCTCTAATCTTCTCATAGAAACAAAAGAAGTCCTGTATAGGAAACGAAAAGACCCTTTGATAAACCAACAAAAGAACGGACATGAATCGATGTCATCCATCTTGTTAATCATAATGAGAGATGGGACATGAAAGAACTCCTCGTTTGCTTGGAAATGAACTAGCTTTTTTTCTGAGTGAAGGATCTCTCTTTCGAATAAATGAGATATCTTTTCTATGTCCCTCTGTGTCGTGTTTGGAAATGAGAGAGCCCTCCCCCCCCCCCCCTCTCCTCTATCTTCTCATAGAAAATGGAAATGAACCATGTCCTCTTTCTTTTAATGCAGAATGCGAGAGCTCCTCTCTCTCTCCTAATGGGACATGCAAGTCCTCCTGTATTTTGTTTTCAATGAAAGATCTCTCTCTCTCTCTCTCTCTCTCTCTCTCTCTCTCTCTCTCTCTCTCTCGAGGAAATGAAAGAGGCAAGGGCGGTCTCTCATTTCCTACAAAGATAGGTGCTTTCAGAGGACCTATTAAAAGATAGAAGAAGTTCTCTCACGTAGAAGATAGAAATTGATGAGTTGTGTCCTGTCCCATTTAAGGGATAGAGAAAGTCCTGCAAAACTGTTAGTTAGAGTAAAGGAGAGATCTCAAGTAGAAAAGGTAGAAGAGCTGTGTCATTTCCTATGAAGAGATAAACGGCTTCTCTGATGACCTCTTCATTGATAGAGAAGCTATTTCTGAAAACTCGACATAGTAGAGAACTCTCTCTCTCTCATTTCCTGCGAAAAGCTAGAGGAGGTCTCTCACGACGTATTGCGAGATAGAGAAGCTCTTTCATGTACCAGATAGGAAACGGTAGAGCTGAGGATTCCCCTACCTATTGACGACATATGAAAAAGATAGGACATCAGAGAGCTCTTTTGATCTCTTACGCATTACCAATGTACTCTTCTATCTTTGAGTAGGAGATGAAAGAGCTCCTCTAATCTTCTCAAATGAGAGATGGGACATGAAAGAACTCCTCGTTTGCTTGGAAATGAACTAGTTTTTTTCTGAGTGAAGGATCTCTCTTTCGAATAAATGCGATATCTTTTCTATGTCCCTCTGTGTCGTGTTTGGAAATGAGAGAGCCCTCCCCCCCCCCTCCCCCCTCTCCTCTATCTTCTCATAGAAAATGGAAATGAACCATTCCTCTTTCTTTTAATGCAGAATGCGAGAGCTCCTCTCTCTCTCTCCTAATGGGACATGCAAGTCCTCCTGTATTTTGTTTTCAATGAAAGATCTCTCTCTCTCTCTCTCTCTCTCTCTCTCTCTCTCTCTCTCTCTCTCTCGAGGAAACGAGGAGAGGCAAGGGCGGTCTCTCATTTCCTACAAAGAGAGGGCTTTCAGAGGACCTATTAAAAGATAGAAGAAGTTCTCTCACGTAGAAGATAGAAATTGATGAGTTGTGCCCTGTCCCATTTAAGGGATAGAGAAAGTCCTGCAAAACTGTTAGTTAGAGTAAAGGAGAGATCTCAAGTAGAAAAGGTAGAAGAGCTGTGTCATTTCCTATGAAGAGATAAACGGCTTCTCTGATGACCTCTTCATTGATAGAGAAGCTATTTCTGAAAACTCGACATAGTAGAGAACTCTCTCTCTCTCTCATTTCCTGCGAAAAGCTAGAGGTCTCTCACGACGTATTGCGAGATAGAGAAGCTCTTTCATGTACCAGATAGGAAGCCGCCCTCAACCCTACATCCTCAACTTTATATATACCCTAAGTTCATTCTTTTTAGGGTTTAGTTTAGGATTTGTGGTTTAGGATTTACGGGTTTAGGGTTTTGGGGCTTCGGTTCAGTGAACAATTATCTCAATCAATGAGGAAGTCCGTAACTTCTAGCGTGTGTGTTGTTGCAAAGGAACAAATATAAATGATGCATTTTGCTTTGATTTTTAAATACTACACATGCAGGCTAAGCAAAAAGAACCCTAAAGGTATCAGCCACATATATATATATGTATATGTCTGTCGGGATGTGTCTTTCTGCCCAGGAAGATCTTCATCCCGATGTCTGGCATGGTGCTCGATCCCGCACAGCAGTGAGTGTTGCAGGGCAGAGTTGCAGCCCAGCCGCAAAGTTTTCGAAGTCATGCCCGAGAGCGGAGGTGCAAAGCCTCAACGTGGCAGCGTCCGTCACGATCATACTCTCTGAAGTGCCTGGTCTGGTGTGAGTAAGGCGTTAAGCCTGGATGTTGTCAGATTTCTCAGACCTGGATTGCAGGTTGTCAGGCAGATGCTCTTTGGCTCCTTGCCAAGCTTTCAGATGAGGCAACTCCTTTTGCACTTGCAGTCTCATCTTGTTTGTAGATATGCGGTTGCTGCTTCCATCCTATGTCAGGTCAGCTGAGCTGAAGCAGGCTCCCGCGGACCCATCCGAAGGTGGCCTGCATTTGACATCGAAAGATGACCATATGAAATTGTAGCAGTGCTGCAGTGGGCCGGTCATGCGGAACATATCAAACACGACCAGGCTGCAAGGATTTGCTGTCGGGAGCATCTGGTGCTCGCATGGAGAAGTTCTTGGCAATTTCTCGCAAGCGGCAGAGAGGTCTGGTCGTGGTGTTGGAAGATCCTGACAGGCAAGGGGTCCTTGCAAGGGCATCGTGCGATCTACAGCTGGCATTCCTGTCAACTGCTCCTTGTCAATCTGCAGAGTGTTTGTGGCAGCAAGGCTAGATGCAGCAGCAATCCTTCGAGGTTGCGACGCTTTTGGAGTGGCTTGGCTCGTGCTCAGACTGGGATAGGGAGTGTGTCAACCCTCACTTTATGCTGCCTCTTCTGTTCTGCCTTTTACCCGCTTGCCGATCGCGTCCTCCGACTGGTCGATTACATTGCAGTTGCTTCTGCATTTCCTGTGCCAGTTTTGCAAAATTCGCACAAGCTTTGTGTTGCCTCTAGCCTCAAGTGCGTTGCTCGTGCAACTTGCAGCTAGGACTTGTTTAGGTTGGGTAGTATTGGGTAGTTTTGCGCAGCAGTTGTAGGGTAACGGCCCGTGGCCATGAGGTCCTGACAGGTCATGAGTCATGATGGGCCTGACTGCATGTGTAAAGTCATGCCCCAGAAATGTAAGCAGTGCATGGTACTCGGCAATTTCAATACGAAGTTTGCAATTGCTTGTGGGGAAGTCGCAGGTCTCAGAAGTGCACTTCATCTTCGAGGCCACCAAGGCCTTCGATCCTCTGGCGAACCGCCAGGTAATGAAGTCCGAAGGTTCCAACCTTTGGGTCTGTAGTCGGGTCTTCGAGTCTGTCGGAGACTGCCTCCACCATCTAGACCGAAGAGGCTTTACTAGAGTAGGTATAGCCCAGACGCATCATGTAGGTGCAGTGAATTTCTTTAGTGCCCCGGCTTTTTGCGAAGAGAAGCTGGCACTCTGGCTGAGCTGTAACAGCTCTCATCTTAATGATCAGGTCGTAAGCAGCAGTGTTTACGTCCCGGCTCCTGCCAAAGTTGCAGGGCTGGCCATCTCAAATTTGGTGGCTGCGGTTCTGGCCGAGGTCACACGCTGTCGCAGGGCCACATGTCCCTCAGGACATTGGTCCTTCAGCCGCGAAGAGCAGAGGGCATATGTCCAGTGGTGCGTTGCAATTCATACGAAGCGCCACCCCACACTGCAGCAGGCTTCTCAAGAGTCTTCCTTGAGCCCTGAGTATGAACGCTTGGGTCGCTTAAGGGCTGAGCTTGCAAGACAAGGATGGTGATGGAACGTAGAATTGCCACCCGCCCTTCTGTGGAAAACCGAAGGAAAGATCGATCTCTGCATCTATGGTTGCATCTTGCTGGCTGGCGGTGGATTGCATCTGTGTTGAAGGTCTTTTGCTGGCGTCTTTTCATGGTTCTGTCTCAAGTGTCCCATCCAGGCGCTCAAAGATCAGATGCAGCTACGAAAGCAGACTGATCAAAAAACATGCAAGCACATACAATGTGGCAAGCCTATCATCGTATCATTATATCTTCTCGCGAGGCAAATATCACATATTTCGCCACTGTGGATGGATGTTTAGGAGTCTGGTGACTGCAGCTGGGATCCCAGAAAGCCTGTATCATGTCGTGCAGCTGCCCATGATTCTTGGTCTTTGTTCCATATTGGCCAGCCGTGAGCACAGGTAGACCAGTAGCGCATGTCGTGCAGCACATGTCATGTAAACATGTCTAAACTCGATATTTTGCGCCCTTGACAGATAGCCGGCCGGCTTAAAAAAAAACTGTGGTTCGATGCAACTAGCTCTGAGATGCAGCTGCGACTGCTAGGAAGTGCTTTGCCCAAGTGCTTGGAACATGCAGTGACAGCCGCTTCCAGAAGCTCAGACAAGTAGTGTTAAACTTGCAAGTTGAGAGCAGAAGTTGCTCAAAGGGCTGTTGTTGACTTGTCACTTATCCATCCAGCACTCATGTGCGCAAAGCAGAGTATGTCCGTTCGACCACTTCTGTGACAAGTCATCAATCTTCTGTGATCAGTGATTCTCTGCAAGCGATGAGTTCTAAACGGAAGGCTGCGGCGCCGTTGGATGACTCCACATCCTCGATCACGGTTTGTGTTCGGTGGGCATTGAGTGGGGAAGTGCTATCCGTGGTCTCTCTTTGGCCAGGGTCTTCAGTTGCTGAGCTGCTGGCATCCTTGCCAGTGGAGCGTCATGAGGTGAAGCAGTTGCGCGGGGTTTTTAAGGGTCGAAGTTTGGACGGCACAGAGCTTCTAGCTACACTAGAAGGCATAGACGTTGATCCGGAGGATTCCTTCTTTGTTGTGAGACGGCCGCCGCGACTTGCCATATTGAGCTCGGAGAACAACACGGTCTTCTGGGACCCGGAGGCGAACAGAAGAGCAAAGTCCTTCTCGTTCTCTGCCCATGAAGATTCTGACGCTCGCTGCGCTGCTCACTGTGTCACTTTTTCCGAGGATGCTTCGATCGTTCTTGCAGGATATCCCCAGGGTGTGGCGCGTCTCTACACCGAGCACGGTATTTGCAAGAAAACATTCACAGCGACAGCGCGTTGCGGAAGTGTCCTTGCAGTAGCAATCTCCAAATGTGGAAGTTTTTGTATCACCGGTAGTGAAAATGGAACAGCGCGGGTGTGGAGCACAGAGAGTGGTGTTTGTTTGAGGTCCATGTGTCGGCACAGCGCCCCAGTACAGTCAGCTTCCTTGTCTCCGGACGTCAAACTTGCCGTTACGGGAGGCTGTGATGAGCTTGCGAGACTCTGGTGTGTCAAGACTGGACAGTGTTTGCACACACTCCGTGGACATGCTGGCGTCGTCACGTGCGCCTCTTTTGCTGGAGCTGATCGAGTGGTGACCGCCTCGTTTGACGGCTCCGTGAAAGTTTGGTCTTGTGCGAGTGGCGACTGTGAAATCACAATCTTGGGTCACAGTGCACCGGTCCTTGCCATGGCAGTCTGTCCTCGTGCAGACTTGATTTTCACAGGTTGCTTTGATGGCATGTGCAAAGTCTGGGGCCTGTCCACAGGGTTGTGCTCGCTGACCCTAGAAGGGCACGGCGATGCTGTTCGATCTGTAGCCATTTCCCAAGATGGCCAGTACTCACTGTCCGGTGATGCAAGCGGCTGCTGCAAGTATTGGTCTTTGCGATCAGGCAGCTGCAAGCAAACTCATTTTCTGCGGGGTGATCGCATCCTGAACGTGACGCTTCGCTGCCCTGACTGAAAAGAGACTGGCCGGCGAAGCAAGTGCTCAAGTTTTTGTAGTGCGCGTGCTTTACGGTTTTGCATGACGGTGTGGCTGTTCTCAACAAGGTAGCCTGCTCAAAGCTCCTGCACGCTGGAAAGCCTGCACCTTTTGCTGGAGGCCAGTGTTACGACAGTGTTCCGTTCGGTTTACAGTGAGGATCCCCAGTTCTTCAAGAAGCCTGCCTCCTGCAAGGACCGAATCCAGTTCAAGCTATGTACAGGCCCAGGTTTGCAAGGAAGTTGTGTGCAGTTCTGCCTTCGCTTGACACAGCTCTTCGGGCCTTCGCATCAGGGCCCCAAACCGTACCGAGTACCGACTCGTATCCGAGGTCAGACTACTACCGGGCCGATGGTGTGCGCATTACGCAGGGGACCCACATGCTTCTGAGAGAATCTGCATGAGCATATTTGTAAGCAAAGTGAGTGAGACAATATCAAGGCACGATCCTTATGCACCTGGCATGGCAGAGAAATATGGCACGCCCGGCAAGACCGACAACGAGGGGTGCCTTTAGCCTTGTTGCATATTGAGCCGTTGAGCACAGAGCATTTCTGCCTCAGTGTGCATAGCTGTGCAATCCAAAGAGTGTGATGATGCCATGTTGTTTGTGACAGGTTTGACCCTTACGCGGACACTGTGGGCCCAGGCCACTGGTTCGACACTGAAGGGGTTCGGCCTATATGGCCCGTTGCGTGCTCGCGCGACCAACTTCATTCAAAGATTCAGAGCCTTGAGCATGCCAAGAGAACAGCACCTTGAATCAAGTTTGTCCCCCGCCTAGACACTTTCACTACTTTTCCACTGAGCCATTGCATCAGCTGCCCAGGTCAAAGCATATGCCCTCACCAAGCGGTAGCCACCATAGAACCGCGGGAGCCGATAGCACCGAGTGACTAGCAAGGGAGGCACAAAGATAGCGAGATCAGCTCATCCAACTGCCGGTCCACCACAGACCCCGAACACCGGGGCGTGCGAATCGCACGAGGGTCTCAGCGTAGACTCCGCTCAGGAGCGTGCTTACCCTGACCGACCCTCATTCCCCAGAACCTGTTCCCAAAAGAAGAAGAGTTCAGAGGACCGCCCGGGTGTGCCAAGAATAAGAAAAATAAAAGCAAAAATGCTAATCATAATGATAGGAAGACGTACAACAATATGTCCAGCAGAAACAGGGGAAGTTCAGCAGAGGAGCAAAGTTGGAGCACAACGCGATTCAGGCATCTATGGTGGCATCGTCAAGCGCGATGCAGCTGGCAGCGTCGTCATTGGCAGGCGGTCGCCATCCGTTGATGTCATTGTCCACTGGACGAGAGGTATTTGCAATTGATGGCATGGGTTGAACGGCCTTCGAGGCAGTACCAGAATCATAACCCGCGGCCTGGTCCGGTCTACGCCGGGGGAGGCTACACGCCGATAAATGAGGCACATGGGGGTCGCTCAGACTTAACTACCGATTGCGAGCAGCTGCCGAAGCGCTTGGAGTGGACTAGTTACTAGTTTGAGTTTCCAGAAGCACTGGGCGCAGGCACTGAGGAAGGGGCCTGCAGCTCTGAAACCGCCCGAGCTCAAGTTACGAGTCTTCTGTGACCAGTTACCCCAGACTGCACTTCGCACTATTTGGCATTGCCTCCAGGTTGCTGGACAAGTATCCGGATTTGGCAAATGATGTTTCCACCGGGGGCGCCGTGTTTGCATTGTCATGTTTATCTTGGTGGCCTGTGCTCTTTCGAGCTGCGCTCTGGCAATACATGCAATGCAAAGGTGCCACTCCCTTGCACATGTGCGGCATGGGCAGCTGCCTTGGTGCCTGGAGGCCGGCGTAGGATGAGACAGGACCTTCGAGCTCTGAGCCCAGGTCGGGATAATCAGCACGCCACGGAGTACCTGATCAGGAGCTTGTCACGAAGCCTCATGTATCCTCATGTTGAAAGTGAGATGCTGTGCCAGGCGTGGTGCCAAGGCCCGCTTGCCGTTTAACATCTTTTTACTTCGATCCCACCCTGCGCCGCAGCCCCGCCCTCTGCGGGCTCTGGGGGCGCTCCAGGGATGCTCGGTGGGACTCTATGCGGGATTCTTTGACTCGGCCAGACTCTGGCACTGCAACTCTGCGGGTTTCTCTGGTGGGGTGTGGCACTCCAGGGACCAGGCCCGAGAATGCTTGTCTTCAATATCCAACAGCCACACCGATACTGGGGAACATGGTGCAGGGCAGGAATAACGCTCTGAACACAAATCGAGATTACAAAGTTTTTGTGAGGGCTTCTTTGTGTGATTTCAGTGTGCAGGTAGAAGCCTTGGACACCTACGGGATGACGCCGCTGCACCGCATGGCATCCAACAACCTCCCAGTAGGAGCCCGGATCTCAAGGATCTCATGGACATCTCTTTGGCTTTTCGACGCGACTGTTGGAAGGTTTTGCGAGGCTTCCCCCTCAATTTCCTTCTGTCCTCCTTTCGAGGCAAGGGCTCTGCTGGAGGCTGGTGCCGATCCCCACGGCAAGGGCCAGGCCTCGTCTGATTTTGAAGCTCGTGGCGTCGAGCGCCTGGATCCTCTTCTTGCAGGCGCGCGCCAGCCCAATGGAGGTCGCACAGGCATCCCGGCACTCGCAGACATTTTCTGTCACGACCAGTCCTGCCTTGGACGTTTGAACTGCAGGATGCGCGTGCCAAGGAGGTGTGCCACCCAAATTCTGACGTGCAATGCCGGAATGGTCCCAGTTTCGCTGGAGTTGTTTTGGGCTCTCCTTGCTTGGATGGCTTGCCTGTCGCTGCTTTTAGCCGCCTGCTGCCGACATGAATGAGGTGATGTCGGTTCTGGCAGAGTTCCTTGGCGGCAAATAGACTTCAGATTGGCTTGGACATCTGGCTTGGCCACTTCTGTGTGTAGCATTGTCGCTTGAATTGAACACGAGCTCGATACCAGATACCTTCGTAAGCCGCGCCCCGCCCCTGCTCAACTTCGCTGGGAACCTCAGTGCAGACTTCTTTGCATCTCACTGCATCTGACTGGGACATTGACTGCTGATGCAACTGTCTTAAGACATACAGACTTCTAAGGTGTATCCAACTCTGGCTCGCAGAGTGTCAACGTAGTCTACACTCAGAGGCATCCCGAGGCCTCTTGGAGTTTTGCAAAGTTTTGCGCAAACGTTGCGCGGGTGCTTTAATAATTTCTTGCTGCGATGTCCACGGAGACTGGGCAAACGTTCCGGCTTATGCGGGAGGTGATTCCTGTTGGCTTCAGCCTAACCTGCGCAGAGCAACGCTGGGATGCTGAAAAGATGTGCTCAGCTTAGCTACACGTGTCTCATGCGAAAAGGGTTGAGATATGTCTTTAAATCCTGCAAAGGTGGCTGCAGCTCAGTGACCAGCAGACTCCCTGGTACGAGGCTGAAAACGGCGATGGCCTCAGACGTTTGTGTGATAGACTGTGGGTCCCCCAGATTGCACACGGCGTTGAGGTGCATATATCTATTGGAATCGCGGTGATGGCCAATGGTGTCCCGTGTGCAAAAGTATGGTTAGATTTTTTGGGTTCTTGGGTCACTTCCCTGCGCTTTGTCAACGTGCCGCGATCCCCCACCCACTTTTGTAGAATGATCATGGCGAAGGTGGATTGATGCACCAGACGGCAAAGGAGTGTACATAGCAAAAGTTCTGGACTCGGACTCTCCAAGCAGGAAGCCATGTTGTGACAGCTTGTTGGGCAGTGCTCGAATGGCCAATGGCGAAGCTTGGGCCCTGAGGGCAAACTCAGAGCTGAAGCAGGAGAGAAGACTTGTGCTGCAGGCCTCTGCTGCAACAGTTCCCGGGGATGGTTGGAGAGCTTTGCCGGGGGTGGCGGAACCTCTACCCTTTGCGCGGCACTTAGCCCGACTTTTCTTCGACGCTTGAAATTTTTTACGAAGGGACACGCAGGCTTCGGGTTGTGCAGGTGGAGCTGCTTCCAACAGCGTCAAGTGAACTCTAGGAGAATGTTTAGCGCATCGGTTGGCTTCTGGCTTCTGTGAGTCTTCCTGCGCAGAATTTTCAGATTTTGGCGATGTGGCATAATTTTCAGCAAGTTGGCTATGTACAGTGTGTAGCGCTACAGCTAGCTTGCATCCTCCCAAAGCTGTACAGCTGACGGAGCGGCAATAATGCGGTTTTCGAAGTGATCTTTTCTGCTTCCCAATGACTTGAGGCTGTGCAAAGACAAGCAGACGTAAATGCAGTTCTTCGCTGCATGTCATGTCCGTTCTGGTTGCAGGTCAAGATCGCGGTAGATGGATGCCGTAGGAGCTTGAAGACAGTCTTCAGAACAAGCGAAGGATTGCAAGCTGTACGTAGAGGGGACGCAAACCCATGTGTCGTTCAATATGCGTCTTCGTTACGAGGTGACTTTTCACTTGGAAACCTGTTGAATACCTCGTAAGCGATGAGCATTCGCACGGCGCTAGCTTCGTGGTGGTGTTTCAATCACAGAGCCCGCAGTGCAAGAAGACGGCGCACATGCGCGCCCCAGAGGACCCAGACAATTCGTTGAGGCTTTCAAGGGGCCATCAAGAGCCCTTTTTTCGCAAAATAACGCCCGCTTACTGGCTCGATGAGAGCGTGCAGAGGAAAGCCCGTGACATGACATGGTTTCCATAATCGGTGGCAATGCTAGCGCATGCCGCAGTGTATTTGTGTAGCTACGGAGTCCTATCTCCGGCATCACAACGAGCACCATAAACAAAGAATTGTAAGGCAAACTTTGCAGGAAGGTATAAGTTTATAAGCCTGCATGGGCTTCGCAGCCAAATTTCAAGGCTTCGTTGATCCCGCCTCAGCCATATTTCCCTTAGGCTGCCGCCATGGGCTCTGGGAGCTCAGCCGCAAAGCCCCGCGGGATGGTTTGTGTGAGCACTGGTATCTGGCACAAAGACACATGCTGCTCGGACAATGTCGCATTACGAAGACTGGGACGTGGACTTGTTTTTGTTGAAGTCGGGATGTCGGAAGGTACCAGACACCTGTTGACGTGACAGCAACTCCCGAAGTCCAAGGTGGCATTGATGAGGCAGGACAAAGCTTCGATAGGGCAGTATAATCCTGTTCCAATAAGTGAACAACCAGTAGCTTCATACCCGCAAATGCCAAGATCTGCAATGCTTCTGGCAATCATGAAATACGGCAAAGAGTAGAGTAGTAGTAGCAGTAGC